ATCTGTGCAGCGGGCCTCTCAGCAGCCCGTAGGGAGGGGCTCAGACTAGCTAACAGGATGATAATGGTCAACTCAGAGCACTTTGCCCACGCTGTGTGTTTCCCTTTTTAAAATATATGTTTATTGACTTCAGAGAGAGGAAGGGAGAGAAACATCAATGATGAGAGGGAATCATGGATCGGCTGGCTCCTGCACGCCCCCCACTGGGAACCGAGCCCACAACCTGGGCCTGTGCCCTGACCGGGAATCGAACCCAGATCTTCATGGGTGGATGCTCACCCCCTGAGCCCGCCGGCCGGGCTGGCTGTGAGTTTTTAATTGAAAAAGATCTTGTCTGGTTGCCAGGCGGCTCCCTGCCAGGAAAGGCCCACCCCCACAGCCCGCACCGTGGAGTCGTTGCTAGAGCCCTCCTGCCCCCAGCGTCCGACGGGGTGTCCGACCGCGTCCGCACCCACGGATAATGCCGTGAGGAGACCTCTCACTGGCTCCGTCTCCTTTATTTCCAGGCAAACCAGGAAGATCGCGCCCGTGGTCATGCCGCTGGTGTGGTTTGAGGAGGTGAGGCCGCCTGGCGGTCCCTGCGCGGGGCTCCTGGCGAGTGGCCTCTGGTGCCACAGTGGGGAGGCCGTGCGGGCACTTGAGGCTGGAGGAGGGTGGGGCCGGGGGAGCCGCGGTGGGACCTAGAACAATCCAGAGAAACCTCGCACGTCGCAGACAGGAGCTTCCCCCAACAGGCAGCCCAGCCCCAGGGCGGGGTCCTTTCTGAAAGTACCGCCACTGCTTTCACGGTGTCAGCTCCACACGGGAACGGCCTTCCGCCCGGCTTCTCGGGGCTCCTCTGGCCTCGCTGGTTGTGTGAGAAGGGAAAGCGAGAGGGCAACGCTGAGCTGTTCCGTCCAGTGGTTGATTCTTTATGTGCCCCCTGACCGGGCATCGAACCCGCAACCTTGGTGTATCGGGATGACACTCTAATGGAGCTACCCTGCCCAGGGCCTGGCCCAGTTCATTTTTTTAAAAATATATATTTTATTGATGCCAAAACCAGTGTGGCTCAGTGGATGGAGCGTCGGCCTGCGGACTGAAGGATCCCAGGTTCGATTCCGGTCAAAGGCATGTACCGTGGTTACAGGCACATCCCCAGTAGGGGGTGGGCAGGAGGTAGCTGATCGACGTTTCTCTCTCATTGATGTCTCTAACTCTGTATCCCTCTCCCTTCCTCTCTGTAAAAAATCAATAAAATATATACATATATATATATTTTAAATATATTTTATTGATTTTTTACAGTGAGGAAGGGAGAGAGATAGATAGTCAGAAACATCGATGAGAGAGAAACATCGATCAGCTACCTCCTGCCCACCCCCTACTGGGGATGTGCCTGTAACCACGGTACATGCCTTTGACCGGAATCGAACCTGGGATCCTTCAGTCCGCAGGCCGACGCTCCATCCTCTGAGCCACACCGGCCAGGGCAGGCCCAGTTCACTGTAATCCTCACTCGAGAATATGTTTTTCCATTGATTTTTTTTTTTTTGAGAGAGAGAGTGGAAGGGAGGGAAGGGGAAAGAGAGAGAGAAACATTGATGTGAGAGAGAGACACGGTGCCTTCTGCACATGCCCTGACCAGGGCCGGGATCATACCTATGACCCCGGTACACACCCGTGACCAGGAATCAAACCCGTGACCCTTTGGTCCAGGAATCGAACCCTCCAACCACGGAGCCACACGGACCAGGGCCTGGCCCAGTTCATTTTAAACCGGGGTGGTCTCCTGCCCAGCTGGTATGGCTCAGTGGTTGAGCATCAACCCATGAACCAGGAGGTCAGGGTTCAACTCCCGGTCAGGGCACAGGCCCGGGTTGCGGGCTCAATACCCAGTTGGGGGCGTGCAGGAGGCAGCCGATCCATGATCCTCTCATCGTTGGGGTTTCTCTCTCTCCCCCTCTCCCTTCCTCTCTGAAATCAATAAAAATATATTAAAAAAACAAAACAAAAAAACCTAGAGTGAACTCAGGGCCGGAACAGGCAGCCTCAGAATGTCAAGTTCACGGCCCAGTCTGATACGGGCGAGTCGTTCGGGCGGCCAGGCTCCTCCCGTCCTGGGGCCCACCCTCCTTGAGACCCTCCGAATCCACCCGAGTTCCGTGGGTGGGGATAGCGATGGAGTGAACCCCGGGGAGGGTTTCACCAGCCAGGTGTGGAAGTTCTCGCATCGCCGTGCCCTCGTCCCATTGGCCAGAATGCAGTCTCATGGCCCTGCCAACCGCAAGGGAGCCTGGGAAATGTAGTCTCTCCGTGTGGCCCTGGAGGACATGGAGGCCCCTGCAGGCTTGAGATGGGGGCGGGGCCTGGGGGACAGGGACGTGTGTGGCCCCAGCCCACGTCTTTGCCGTTCTCCCTCCGCAGAGGGGGGCCATGGAGGGCGAGCCCCTGCAGAAGTTCTACCTGCAGCTGGTGCTGCTGCCCAAGGTGCTGCACTTCGCCCAGTACGTGCTCCTGGCCCTGGGCGGCCTCCTGCTGCTCGTCCCCGTCGTCTACCAGATCCGGAGCCAGGTAAGTGGCG